AAAATGTACATTTTAATGACTACAAGGCCATTGAAAATTAATGGATTATAGTCATATCTAAAGCCTTGAAAACAATAATACAGTACTAAAAGACCTGTTTTAATATACTGACCAGGGTCACACAACACACTAAGTTGTAAAATAAACTAACCACATCATCACTTAGCATTATGTGTTAACTCAGCCATGTGTGTGGTGTTGGTTTTTTTAGTTTTGGATGTCACAATGAAATAAAAATATTGGCAAAATATAAAAGTTTGGAAGATAACTACATGAAGATTGAAGGTTAATCATATAGCAAACAAGAGTAGACATTTTCCAAGTCAATGTGGTCCCATTTACTTATCTACTCATTATGCCAAGTCAAATGCACACTCTCAAGCCATATCCATACACTCTTTAAAAACATGAATATCAGCTAGAGTATAGACACAGAAGAAAATTTATACAAAAGATTTTCACTATATCTTCAGCACTTTTATTGCATTTTTAAAACAATGGAAATTCTGATGTAATAAATTGAGCCATACCAGTCAAACTAGATAATTTCAAAGTTATTTTTGTTAGATGACTTTTATTAAAAATGTGATATGTTTACATATTGAATTCACAATTTCTTGAGGTAGAAAGGCAAATGGGGTAATTATATTTAAATTTGAACCAATGTATATTTTTTGAAGAGAGAGGAAAAGTTATTGTCAGGGTTCCAAGTAACACCCCCAAAAGAAACTCCGAGTCTTGGATTTCCTCAAAGCTACAATTTGTCATATTGGCACATCTGTGAAAACCCGAATCTGAGAACTTCCGGGTTTTCTCCACCCAAAAGAAAGTTCAAGTCCCTGCCCAGCATCCACATGTCCATCATACGACCCAATCAGGCACCATCCAAATCTGACGATGCCTTCCAGTCACTCCATTGCAGCTGCAGGGCAAAGCGGCCTTCTGGAAAGAATGTTATTTAGACTACTACATATCACCTACTCCATACAATCCCCCTCCCATTATCCCCATATAGAAATTGTGGCAGGCCTGAAGGCTCAAAAGTAAAAGATGACTTCTAGGTCTGACAGATATATAACAATATATTCTCCATATATTTCAAGGGGATTACAGCAGCGATCCTGCAAAGACTACAAACAGTAACATAAATCTTCAATGTGGACTACATCATTTATTTTATTTATTTTAAATATTTCTATAGCTGCATATCTTGAAACTAAATACTGGGCAGCTTTTAACTCAGTAAACCCAGAAAACAAAACCAAAAAAAGCTGGTGCTGCAACCATACTCCACTGATGCAACCTATCATATTCTCATCCTGCTCAGACTTCACCCAATTCCAGTGCCTGGGAGAAGACTCAAGTCTTGAATATTCTCCAAAAGGTTAAAAGAGTAGGGGTCCTTCAAATGTCATGTGAAGGATGTTCCACAGAGGCTGCCATGGAAAAGTCACACTTCTGAGGACCCATAAGGTCTTTAAGGTAAGACACCTGGAACCTACCTACCCTATCTGCTTTGGTGGGACAAGCAGAGACCTAGGGGGAAGGGTTAGGGAGAAGCAGTCCTGCAGATAACCTGTTCCCATGTATGTAGGATTTTAGATTGTTACACATATTTTAATGTTCAGAATATACATTTTTCATAAACTTTTAAAAAATCCTTTTTATGATCCAGTAATCCACATTCTCCTTAAAACTCGCTGGCAGGAAATATTTTTTTCATTTAATATGTTGTATCTTTAAAACGAAGTCTAACATAACATTCACATTTTTATATTTCAAGTTCTGTAAAAGCAACACAGATTGATTAGTATTGATTAGATTTCATCAACACTAAATATGACTTCTATTTCCACTAATTTCAGTGGAAATTAAATTCAATTAATCTGGATTTAATTTGTTTAAATATCAATGAAATATTGTGAACAAGCTAAGCACAAAACTTTTCAGGTTCATATATCATAGTTTCTACAATTTATCTGATTCACGTTTCTCTGATCTACAAACTAAATCACCCAGACCAAATTCATATGAGAATGAAATGCAGTCCACTAATTTGCTCTATGTATCATTAAACTAAGGCAGTGTCAATAGTTATTAAGAGTATGAATAGAATTAAAACTCAGAGGAACTCAAGGATGTTGCTGCAAAGCATCCCATACTCTCCACCCATGAAGTGTTGTATCACTTGTCATTTCTTGTGACATCACGACAATGTATTTTACTACATCTACTGTATGTCATTATCAATTATCTCTGGGGGAAAAAACAGAAAATCTTACAATATTACAATAGCAAGTAGCTTTTATTACATATTCTTTACATTTATACAATCTAGGTGGTTATATCAATGTAAATCACAGGTAAGTTACTTACCCAGTGACAATACATAAAAACTGCCTTGGTTTTCAAGTGAGGACTACCTGCTTAAGAATTAAATGATTTTTAAACATTTGTAGATGTGAAGAGAGAAATGAAAAGAAAAAAAAATGATACTATATCTGAAATATTAGCATTTGAATGGGTTCTCTCTACCTCCCTGTCACTACTAGGTGCTGTAATACAGGTATGCTACAAAGATATACAATAATATATAATAATAATATGTATGTATAATATGTATGTATAATACATAGTGCATGTATAATAATACATAATATAATGTGTAATAAAAGTATAATACACTGAAGAAAAATCCTTTATATTTAACTTCTGTACTTTATTAAAAAGCCTCTTAGAAAACACAATAAACCCTAGAAAGGCAATAAAAAACTATGAAGAAATTCTCACAAAACCCAATGGGTCCTTTTTAAGTATGAAGAGTTTTAGAATCAAGTAGCTTCATAAAGGTCTCTCACACAATCAAATTCTTATCTCCACTACTCGGTAAGTCTATGTTAGAAACAATATGCCAGCTCAAAGTAATATTGAAGCTGTAGACAATCCCTGAAGCATCGTCCTTTTTCTCAGTAAATGGCACTGCAGTACAAAATGTGTCAGTAGGTCATTCAAAAAACCACACCCAACCAAGACATTTTAAACTATAGATCCCCTTTCTGGTTTATGGTCAGTCATACTGTAATTTGGATGAGATGCAATTCCCACACCGATCTATACTTGTCCTTCAGCATTCAGCATTTTCATTTTGTTTCAGTCATTTGGGAGTGGGAGGCAAATTCATCCTGAAATAATCTCGGGTTACTCATAGCAGATATCCTTTTGTATGCTATCCTAAATCAGTGGCACAGAAATGCATTGCATGATATCAATCAACAGGGACTTGAATTACATTCAGTACTGTACAAAAAAAAAAAAAAAGCTACAGAGCTTAACAATAAATTATGATATAAAATATAACCCATTGCAAACTGCAATATGGAAAACTAAAAATTATAAACCGAAAAGACAAAAAGCATCCCAGAACATTCTAAAGGTGGTCAGGAAAAATCCTGAAGCTACAGATTTTTGATCCTATCGGCAACACAGCAAGAAATAAAAAGATCCATTATGGTCCTAAAGCCCGACGGGATCATCATACTGCAAATCCATATTTTCATGCCATCCAAGGCAGCAGGAGGGCAACTCACAATCACAACTATACAAAATATGAAATTGCCCCAGCCCCCAACCTTCCCTCCCCCCTCGCCCACCGCCCCTTGGATTCAGCAATGGCGAGAGAATCTGGAAGGACGGAGTCCAGCCCATCTTTCCCAGATTCCACCTAAACCAAAAACTAGTCGACCCGTTTTCCTGCTGGATCTCAACCCACAACCCCGGCTGGACGTGCTGAATTCAAATAAGCAAGTCCAACACTGCAACTTTTCCGCCGTAAATGAAGCGACGAGGTGCCCTGGAGGGGTGGCTCGGGCAAGCTACATCCACGCGGCCTTCGCTTTCAACGCTCCCGGAGGGCGAGAGGAAACGAGTCCGCGGGGAAAAGAGCTCCCGCTTCGAGGCCCCCTCCCGGCATTTCACCTCCAGCCCTCCGCGCTCGCTACCCACATTACCGGGGCTCCTCCCCTCACGCACGGGGGGCTCCTCCCTCGTCTTCTCCTCCTCCTCCCCCGGGGGGCACTGACCGGGCTCCCCTCCCGCCTCACCTGTCATTGAGCTGGTCCTCGGTGCCCGGCAGCGGGTGCACCACGAAGTGGATCGATGTCATGTTTTGCTCCCCCTCCCTGGAGGGAGGCGGGCAGGGGCCAGGCGCACAAGGAGGAAATGGAGGGGGGGGCGGGAGGAAGGACGGGCGAGGGGGAACTTGGCGTCTCCTTCAGGGTGTCGCGGTCACACTCGGGAGCCTTCGCTCCGCACGAGGGAAGGGAGAAAAACCGGGCAACGCGGGGCGCAGGAACGGCAGGAAAGGGTTCGGTCAGCACCCCGCTCTCACACGAGCCGCCATCTTAACTTCCAAGCTGCCCCTCGCTTCCCTCCCTCCTCCCTCCCTCCGCTGCGCCGGGAACAGAGCGGAAGGTGGGACGTCACCTGAGCAACAGCAAATAGAAAGCCCTCACTGACTGGCGAACCGGCAGTATCCTTGTAAAGTCGGCGGCGATTGGCTGATGGGGCTGGGATCGGCGTGCTTGCGTCAGACGTGAGCGTTTTAAGGGGAGGAAGGGCTAGTGCTGCTTTCTTTCCAGAGGGGGAGGCGTTGGGGGTGACGGGAGGGGGGGGGTAACGCGCGGCCACCCGCGATGGGCGGAGCTTTGATTGCTCGGAGTCCGCGTGGGGGGAAGGAGAGGCGGTTTGCTTCTTTGCTATCTTGGCGCCGAGGCGATGGTGTCTCTTCTGCTGTGTGAAACCTACAGGAAGGCCTATTTGGGCAGTTCCATGATTGGGGTGGAGGGGTGAGGGAGAGAAATCTGTCCTTGGTAGCTACGTGCAGGAAACTTGAAAAAGGGCTTCTCTTAGTTAGTTAGTTGCTTTCTCTCTGGACGTTGGGGTGCATTTGAGGATTGGGGAGCATCCAGATATGTGACCATACAGAGAGCCACGTGTGTATTGAATAAGATGCTGGCCTAGAAATCCGGAGATTTGAGTTCCAGGACTCCGCATAGACATTGAAGCCAGCTGGGTGACTTTAGGCCAGTGGTTCCCCCTGTGGGGCCCATGGGGGGGATTTGATTTTTAATGGGGGCAATTTGAACCTTGTTTAAACCAAGTTAATGGCCTTTTAGGCTTCCTCCAGTGTGAGTAGAGTTCACATTACACATTGGCATCCTTCAGTCTCAAGAGACTATGGTATCGTGCTCTGGAAAGAGATCCTAAAACAGCATCCAGTGTGACTAAAAAGGCCAATTCGAGAGTGGCAATCCCTTCCACACTGAGGGCAGATACATTCTGTCCCCTGCCCAGCCCCCAGATTTTGCTGGTTCCGGGACTGCCTCTTTGCCTCAGCCTGCCGAACAAGTGTCTCTTCGAATTGGAGAAGGCCATGCTGCTTCTTTAGCCTCCAAGCTGAACGATCGGAGGTCAAGGTTTCCCAGTTGTTAATGTCCATTCCCAGGGCCTTTAGGTCCCTCTTGCAGATATCCTTATATCGCAGCTGTGGTCTCCCTCTGAGATGCTTTCCCTGCACTAATTCTCCATACAGGAGATCTTTCTGTAGTGAGTAGAGTTCACTTTTTGAGTAAAGTAAGAATTATATGTCACAAGGGGGGTGGGCATCAGGATTTTAGAGATGCTTAGGTGGGGCATGGCCAAAAAAAGGTTGGGAACCACTGCTTTAGACAATCCCTTTTTCAGTCCAACCCATCTCACAGGGTTCTTGCTGTTGTGGAGAAAATAGGAGGAATGAGTATTATATGCTGCCTTGAGTTATTTATAAAAAAAATATTAAAGGCTGGATAAAAATAAAAACAAATTGCTGCTGAGCCTTTCTTCATACTGCTGCTATGTGGATAAGCCAAACAGCAACTCCCGCCCTCCCAAGTATTAATAGCTGTGCTAATTTCCATCTGGTTGTAATCCAGTCCTTCCCAGAGAGGCCTAGCCTGAAATGATGGGGAAAAAAACCCCAAGTAAATGTGAAATTTTTGTTTTTGAGTGTGATGGACAGAATTCTGATAGGTTTATTGAGTTCATGGGGAGCAAAATGTAGTTTGCTGAAGAAAATCACTTAAATATCCATGTGCATTAGATTAATTATACTGAATGCATGTTAATTAGGATGAATAAAAATGACAAGTGCTGAGAGGCCATATTGGTAAAATGGGGTCTGTTTCAGCAATGTGCTATCCCAGTTGTTACTCTAGGGACTTGTGATGGAGTTTAGTACTTTTGAGGGTGAACTTAAATTAAAAATCCTGTTCCCAGTTCTTTTGCAACCTTAACAGCCTAAGGCTCCCTCACTAGGGTTGGATGAGGTGAGAGGAAAAGTGGGAGGGGTGCAGACTCTTCAACTGCTAAATCTAATTGTACAAAGCTGATCCATGAGATTGGAAAAATTGCAGTTAAAGAGGCTTGCCACTGTCTCTCCTGCTACCCTGCCTAGCCCTGGCAGTTTACATTTCAGGTACTTGGGCAGAGGGGAGTTTCCCAATCCCATGGATCAAATCTATACAATTGGAGATGTGGAAAACAATTAGATCACCTATGAAATTTAACTACATTGAAATGCTGGGGGTGGGGGAAGACCCATTTTGAAAAAAAAGCTACCTCACTGCCAAAGCAGAATAGCAGTGGAAAACCCCGCCAGGAATTAAAGGATGTCCCCTGTGGCCTTTTTGGCATCTTAATCCATTCTGCAAGATTTGTTTCGGGAGAAGAGATGAAATACTAAGTTTAAATAGAAACCAGTAATGTTGAATTAAAGCTGCCTCTGTAGCAGGCTGGAGATGAGATGAAGGTTATGTGATAAGGATATAATCTTTAAAAACATGTAGCATGTTTTATGCTGTGGTTAGGAGATCATGAGAAGGAGCCTTAAACTTAAAGGTCTTAAGAAGTTTGGAAAACATATTTGAAAATTTAAAATAGCTGATTTATAGCTGTTGAAAAGAATAACAAATGCAGGCTCCTTGGTTTATATTTGGCAAACAAGATTTGGTGATTAATTTGGAAGAACATATATGAAGCAGTAATTATTTTGTATCACAAATGGATGAATAATATTACATACTTCATCTTTCAGGTTTAGAAGTTCTGTAATGGAATAGAATGAGATCTATTGCCAGATGTTTTGAGAAGGTCAACTTATCTGAAATCTTCTCTGCTTCTCTAAGAATGTTTTCTTCCTGTGGAGCAGCTTTTAAATGAGCCATCAGTGCTTCTCTTAAGCAGCAATTCATTTCCTTTTCGTATGTTAAAATTGATTGACTATATACCGCAATCCAGGAAGATATGTTCCCAACCTGGTTCTTCACATTGTCAAATCCTCCTAAAATTCAGTTGGAATTTCTTCAGCCATTGTGTAATTTTTTTAAATGTAATTCATAACTGTAGCATTCCCTCAATTAAATTAGTTCCTTTATAATAGTTCCTCTAGTTATTTCTATAGTCTCTTCCAAGTTAAATATAATAAAATACATACAGTACAATGCAATGCAACACAACACAACACCACACCCATGACAATCCTCAAATAGCTATGCATGTCCAGATTGGTGCTTATGAATTGTGCTGCTGTGCTAGGGCTCCTAGGATTGATATAGTACCCCAGTTAGCTCTGAACTCTGGTAAAGCTAAAAAAAAAACCACAGCCCCAACTAACATTGGAACAGAAGCAGCCCTTATCAGCAAGAAAGGCATGTAGAAGAGTTAAGAATCCCTTTCCAAAAAGAAAGGCAGTTCATCCATCAGGAAAACTTGTACTATAAAAGGCCTTTGAGGTGGCATCCACATTTCACTTGATATCCCATCTCTCTTTTTCTGACAGGAAGCTCAAGGGGATCCTCAAAACTAATTTAAAAATATTCAAACTACAGTCATTATTATAAATGTATACCTTAAAAAGTATTGTAGTCTATATAAAGGATCAGCCAAACAGGCAAAAAACCTGGGGCACACTTTCCAAGTCATTGGAATTTTCATCAGGCAACATATTATTTAAAACAAAAAATGGGGCAGAAAAGATTTTAAAGAACAGAGTGATTATTCATGGACTTATTCATGGGCCAAATCAAGAAAAGGTTAAATAGAAGAGGTAGCAGAAACATGAATAAGCTAGATTGTGGTGCCATGTTGTTTTCAAGTGGCAACTAAACCTGTGAGAATAAATGTGGCAGATCCCTCCATTTTAAAAAATGCACACTGCAGTGGTTAACTTGGATCTTAGCAAAATGCATATGGTAATTCAAATTGGGTCTCTGCTGCCATCTTTTGGTCAGTCAATAAATATTCCAATGTCAAATTGCCAAAACATGGGTGAGGGCTGCCATGTTCCCCTACCAGTTTGGAACAATCAGACTTGAAAGAATCTGTTCTTATTGCCAATTTCAATAATGGTAGTCTTAGTCTTTGTGTGGACTTGATTTACCTAGGCCAAGTCTGCAACCGTATTCAATAGGTTTATGCTAATTACAATATATGGGTATATTTGTGTATGTGTTGGATGGATAGATGGGTAAGTAGATGATAGATAGTTAGATAATTACATAGATTCAGATAGATGGTAGATAGATAGATAGATAGATAGATAGATAGATAGATAGATAGATAGATACAGATATACAGATAGTTTGATTGATTGATTGATTGATAGATTCAGATATGTACACATACAGTACAACCAGTTGGTCTAAGTGGCATGTTTGGGGATGAGATAAGTTTAGTGATTAAGATATTACAAAACAGTAGCTGATTGAAATAAATAAAGGCTACCTTCTTTGAGGAGAAGATACTGTCCAAAAGCTATTTTCTTTAGGTCTTATTGAGCAGTTTTGCTTCCCAATGTTATTGCCAACTTTTAGTACCCTAATCTGTATTCTTGTGTCTAGCTGAGCTGGCATTAGGGGAGAGAACAAATCAATACAATTTTCAATAAAACAATATGCCCACAGTATTGTTTTTGCTTCCTGGACACATGCTTATTACCCCCTTAGATATTAAACAATGGTAAAATATAATTCTTCAGTTTATCATCATAGTTCCCAAACAATAAAATATAGAGGATTTTTTTTAAAAATCCATGAAGAGGGATTCTGAGCAGCCACTGTGAAAAATGACTGGAAAGACACTACTGCATGCTGTCAATTGATATGTGTCTGTAGCCAAAAAAAAGAATAAGAATATGCATATAAGATTTTCCAGTTATTACAGTCCTACAATATCTCCAAGGATATTCAGGATGTATCATTTAATTTAATTTCCTGTATCTGGAAGAACTGGTTCTTTTCATTCGCCTACTACCACCAACAGCCTCCCACCGACCAGTACGCTCCCACAGAGAAGGGCTCCTCCAGGTGCCGTCGGCCAAACAATGTCGGCTGTCGGCCCCTAGGGGGAGAGCCTTCTCTGTGGGGGCACCGACGATCTGGAATGAGCTCCCCCCAGAGATACGGAGGATCCCGGATCTGCGCACCTTCCGCCGCGAGTTGAAGACGCTTTTATTTCATCAAGCGGGCCTCGCCTAAATCTTCTCCCTTTTAAGTGTAAATTTTAAATTTTTAATGTATTTTAAAATTATGGGTATTTTAAATTATGGGTATTAATTCAGCCAAATTTATTTAATTCATTTTATTTGATTTTAAATTTTGTATATCTATGTGTTTTATTTCATGGCTGTACACCGCCCTGAGTCCTTCGGGAGTAGGGCGGTATAGAAATTCAATAAATAATAATAATAATAATAATTAATTTTTTTGATTTTATGCATTTCTTCCTGCACAACAATAATATTTTGGGTTTTGGCAACAATTCCCAGCACTTTTTAGCTCTCCTATCAGTGGGATCCTTATCCAAACAGGTAGCCCTCGACTTACCAACCATTCATTTTAGTGACCGTTCAAAGTTACAGTGGCACTGGAAAAAGTGACTTATCACTGGTTTTGACACTTAAAACCATAAGCAGCATTCCCATGGTCATGTGTTTAAAATTCAGGTGCTTAGCAAATGGCCTGTACTTAGGACAGTTGGTGTGTTCCAGGATCAAGTGGACACCATTTGTAACCTTCCCAACCAGCAAAGTCAATTCACTTAACAATTGTGGCACGAAAGGTTGTAACGTGGGGTGCAATTCATTTAAACAACTACCTTGCTTAGCAGTGGAAATTTTGGGCTCAATTGTGGTCATAAGTAGAGAACTACCTGTATTTAACAATACAACCTTATGTATGTCTAAATAGAAAAAAAAATCTGTTGACAATAATAATTAGGGTAACTATTGTCTTGCTATTAGTTTGGCTATTAAATGACTTGGCTTATTTGAGTAGCATGTACCAGAATGCAGTGAAAGAACACCACCTATTGCTGTGTCCCAAATTTAAAAATAGAGGAAATAATATAGATAATGGTTGGATCCATACACAGAAATCAGCTACTACTGTAAAAAGCCACCTGGGAGCCAGTTTTCTATAAGATGCAGACTGTAAAGCTTTGTTATTTATTACATGTAATCTGGTTTAGTCCTCTCTTTGAAAACCCATTTCAACAACCTTTTTTTTCCCTTGAGAATTTTTCTACATACGTTGGAAAACACTAAGCAAGTATTGATAAATAGCTCCTAGCAAAAGGAGCCAAATCAACATGATCAGTCAATTGTATTGACATGATACTTATTCACAGACAATAAACATTTTGTAAGTTGTCAGTAAATAATTAGCACCATATTACTGGCTTTAATAATTTTGCAGAGTACATTATGAGACGTTCTGGAGCTGTCCAAGATGAATTGCTTTACCCTTTGGGAGATAGGATGATGTTAAAGTAGTGCAAGGTAGACTCTATTTGCACATCCAAAAGTATTAGTTATATTTATTCTCCAATAAAATTAGCTCCATCTGACATACAAAACACATGCATTTAACAGAATATTTTTTTATTCCGTTCAATCATGTCCAAATCTCAGAGACTGCCTAGATAAGTTTTTTGGCAAGGTTTTTCTGAAGTGGTTTGTCATTGCCTCCTTGCTAGGGCTAAGAGAGGGTGACTGATCGAAGGTCACTCACTTGGCTTCATGCCCAAGGCAGGACTAGAACCCACACCCTCCCTGTTTCTAGCCTAATGTCTTAAGCAAACCAAATTTCTGGCTCTTTAACAGAAATTAGAGCAATATTTCATTAATAATTGTGGTGGCATGTAAAACAAAATTATATCAGTTGTTGGATATACTGTATGTAGCCATCAGATTAGGAACATCCAGTTTTTTGAATATGCCCTTCAGTGTAGAGTTACTGACATTTGTGTTCTAACCATTTATGAATAATAGCTCGGTATTATATTGTTAATGAAGAGATAACGGGGCAATCTCGGCTAATGCTTTACAGTATAACTATTTTATTATGCAATATTATTATACTTTCGATCACCAAAACCCTCACCTCATCAGAATTTGGTACTTCAGAAGCTCTTAGGCTCCTGACCATTGCAAAAGAGTGAAAACTCAATCTTATGTTAGCCCTGCAAGGTGGATCAGACTAGGAATCCAATGTCATATAAGTCAGTACTACTTTTATTGTAAAGCTGTAGTAAAAGAATCTGAATCTGAATGGAAGATTTTATCTTTTATCTTTCATGAGAACTCAGGAGGGTTTTGTCTAAGATGTTTACTCAAGCAACATCCCTGGCCTGGACTCTTTTATCTGACTCTTGTTTTGATAGCGGCTCTTTGTCCTGTCCCTCAAGGCCATTCCTATACCCTCTACATCTTTTTACTTATCATCCAGGCTTATGATATGATGTTTTCCCAAAAAGAAGACCTATCCCAAAAATAAGCCCTGCCATGTTTTTTGCATGTGCACCCAATGTAAGTCCTATCCCACAAAAGAAGCCCTACTTAAGCGCCTGTGCAGCTGGCCACTCACTTATTCCATCTGGTGCCAGGGCCACAAGGCAAGGCAAGGGGTGGAGCTGCCCCATATGCCCTGCACTGGTTACCTCAGGGCCCCCGCAGTCAGGCCATCCATGTTCCAACACCTGCCTTGCCTTGCAGTGGCGGCTCCACGAGCTCCGTCCAACAGTACCTCAGATATAGCCGCCGGCCGACTTCTGCTTGCTTGTGCGGCCGCAACAGAGCAGGAAGCCAAGCAATGTGCTGGTGCCACCACCACAAGGCGAGGCAGGTGTTGGGGTGCGGGTGGCCTGTAAGCCAGGGTGCTAAAGTAAGCCATGAAGGGTGCATGGGGCAGCTCCACCACCACCCCCTGCCCTGCGGTGGCACTGGTGTACTGTGCGGCTTCCTGCCCCACCGCAAGCAAGCAGAAGAAGTGGGCCTCCCATGTACTCTTATAGTACATGGGGAAAAAACAAGACATCCCCTGAAAATAAGCTTTAGTGCTTATTTTGAAGCACAAAAGAAAATAAGATTGGGTCTTATTTGGGGGGAAACACAGTAACTAAGGTCCATCTGACAATAGCAAGAAAGTCATAGTAAAAACCACCAAGTTAAAGAGCAATCACAGAAATGTCTTCGGACATTTCTTAATGGCCTTGACAAGAGATGAACATTGCCCCCTATAGTCAGCAATGACTAGTGGAGTAAAACCCTCAGGGAGTCCTCCTACTAAACAGCAGCCATATTGAACCCAAAGTGTTTTCAAATAAATGATTCTTCTTTTGAAAAAGCTTTCTGTTTGTTAGTGTTTTTCAATCAAAAGGTATGAAGGCTCCTTTGGAACTGAAGGTTATCAATAATGCAACATTATTTTTAGCCCCAGACTATAACTTTATGACTATATATTGTCAACCCGTTTCAGTTTTCAGGATACACTATCTTCCTTTCTTTAAATATGTTTTTTCCCCTGAAGCTAAATGATGCCTTTTTGTGACTTACAAAGCTTTGAGTTCTCCTATCCCAACTTTTAACACAAGCACAAAGTGTACTCCTTGTTAAGAGGAACTTGGCATTAAAAAAAAATGTGTGTAATGTAGGCTATTAAATAATGGCATTCAGTTTTGACACTTTCTGTTACTGAGTTTGTATTTGGTACTCTGGGATATACTGTTTGCCATTTCCATGGAAACGGTGAGATTGTGACATATTTACACAGTAATGATGTCATAAAGAGCATACTGAAGTACAACTAAAGCATCAGGAGCTGGCTCCTTAATGCAAACTTCTGGCCAGGGCTTGCAAGACCAATTTTTTTCTCCTGACGGGTGCCCTTTTGGCAAAGGTTGTACTCGTACGTGAATATGGTTTAATGCTTTCTAATGGCAACTCTCTGTCACGCACTGGAAACTGTGAGGCGAGATTTAAAGCGAACTGACAGAGAAATAAAAAGGCGTTTAAGGCTTCTAGACATGAGTTGCTGCCCTAAATTTTGCGACGTGCAGACCCACTGCTGCTGTGATATAAATCTCCATCCCTACTGTTGCTGCCTTCTCCATCCGTACCCCCATTGCCTGTGTGACATACTATGTTGCCGTCCCTGTCGGCCGCTCTGCCTCTCAACCTTGGAGCGGAAAGCTATTAGAGCTAAAATAGAAGCTGAGCAAGAACTGGCCAGGTAAATCTGTTTCCTCTTTCTTCATTTTACTAGATCAAGAACCAGCGGGGAATGAAATGAGAATGAATGGTACTTAGTTCCATTGGTCTTTGAAACAGAGGCTGGGCATAATTTGTCTTACATGCCTCATATTTTTATTTGGGATGAAGAATAGTCCAGGGGTCTCCAACCTTGGCAACTTTAAGACTTGTGGACTTCAACTTCCTCAGAATTCCTCAGCCAGCTTTGTTGAATCAGCCTGGGAAAACAGTGGCAAATATGGCTCCTGGTTAAATGGTGTAACACGATGCAACCATTTGTCTGCAACAAAGATTCCAGTGGCTGCCTTCCGTAGCAGCTGAAATCTGATTTATTTAAAGGCAGCCTCATCCTGAATACATTTTGGTTGGGCAGTCTGAATATAGCTAAGTCTTCCATAGCCAAAGTTATTTTCTTATATTTAGAGCTATATTTTATTTATTATAAAAATTTGCTTGCTGTTTGGTTCAAAATATTTACATTCTGAGACTGAGAAAAAGGCAGAATTTACTGGTACATTTTAAAGGTAGATCATTCTAATCTGATACCACCATTTTGTCTAGGTTTACATATTGCATTAAGCCAACTGGTATAGAGAGAGTGTTGTAGTAGGTATGGCTTAGTGTGATGTGTCTGAGCCTAGACAATTGTATGTTTAACAAGCCATTCTGATTAGGAACAACCAGATGGAAATAATTAGTTTGAGGTCATACATGACTATACAATTGGATAGTCCAATGGAAAATAGACATAGATATAAAATTTCAATGAGAAACTTGTGATTGAATAAAGATTTTAAAAGTCTTCAAGTTTTCTTCAGCTCCCAGAAACTTCATGGACAGTTCCATGCAATTGTCTTGACAAAATTTGAAAATGGTTTATTAATGCCTTTTCCAAGATATGCGTGTAGTTGTTGATAGGGTGGGGGTTTTTTTAGATTTCTGTTTTAGCCTAAATTCCCCTGATACTCCTGAACAAGATCTCACTATATCTGAACTAAAGGCCAGTTTATCCTGTTTAAAGTACCCAATCCATAAATCATACTAAACCTGTGGAGTGCTTGGTGCTCTCTAAACTTGATTATTTGCTGCAGATGTTTAACTTGCTAGATAACATCATCAGTGCTAGTGAGTGTGAGGTTTGCTTCCTATTTATATATAATAACACAAATACCTGCCTGTGTTGGTGGGGGAGTGATTTTCTCCTTCGTAGTTCCTTGATTTAGGGTATTGTTTTCTGCTTATTTGTATGGTGTTAATCCCTGCTTATCTGTGTGTGTGGGCTGCTGGAGAGGATGTGTTCTGATCTTTTTGTTTCCTTCCTAGGTTTTTGTCTCTTTCAAATAGTGTGCAAATGTACCTCCACCAACACTTGTGGTATAAGCCACTGTATATAACCAGGGCAAACCTCAGACTGACTAGCATTTATGATGTTACCTAGTTGGATAAGACAGCAGCTGCAAGCAAACAACAAATATAGGGAATACCAAGAACTCCACTGGCCAACCTGAGCTACATATATTCTCTTTTGTTTGTATTCTACCTTATAATGCTGTTTGTTTAGCATTAACAAACTCCAGTAGATAGGTTCACATCACACTCAGCATTGTGTGAATAACAGGCTAGCAAAAAAAAAAAAAAGTATTCCGAAACATGATTTGCATCATACATTTTTCCAATTCTTTTTTTAGCAACCTTTGACAATCTTTCAGCATTTCCTAGCTGGTGCTTCCCAATAACAAAATTTATGTGGATGTGTCTTGTGTATAATCATGTCAGTAATGCCAACACTGATAAGAATTTCACTAATTTAACATTGCAATGACCTTGTCATTGCTAACATCAGTAGAATATAGATGAGTTCAACCCTGAAACATTTCTTTTAATCTCTACAGTTTAGTTTCCATCAACATTTGAGATGTATTAACTTTTACTGCTAAATATTGAACTATGTATAACATCAGATTTGTATAGGATATTCTAATATTTAAATTGGTATGTTGCACTCTTATCCTCTTCTTTGTTATAACTGCAGGATTCGAAGAAGGGTTTGTAAAATGATGGCAGCATGTAGTCGTCCAAAGCTTTTAGCTTTAATGGATGTTAAAGGTTTTGATCCAGAAGACATTACAGTGAAAGTGCAAGATGGGAAGGTTAAAGTTTGTGCTGAACATGAAGAAGAATTTAAGACTTGTAGAGGGAAGGAATACAACTATTCAACTGTCACCAAGGAGATTTGTTTACCACCAGGGATTTGTGAGAATGAAGTAACGTACAGCATAGGACCGACCAGTCTTGTGAGGATAGAGTCACCTTGCTGTGTGCCTTCTTGTTGTTTGCCTCCTTGTTGTCCACCTTCTTGTTGTCCATCTCCTTGTTGTCCATCTCCTTGTTGTCCACCTTCTTGTTGTCTTAAACTTTAATTTAAACACTGGGCAAGCAGCTCTGGTAGCTGTACAGTGTAAGGATGGGACACCATTCTGATCTCATGAAAACCGCCCTTTGCTCATGTGTTAGGAAATGTGTACACTTCTTCCAACAATGACAATGTTGCACATCAATTGGTTTGGCTGTACATTTTTTTTGGTGGGGGTGGGCAGGAACGACGTGATTTGTTCCTTGAAGAATGCCTGCTTAGTTGGCAGTTGAAACAAGGATAGAAAATAGTATTTTTATTTTTCTTAAGAAAGCTTTTAGAGAAGGGAAGTAATTCAATAACCAGACACATGCTTTGGCACTTCCATTTAAAAAGGCACTGAATAGCAGAGGGCAGGTGAGTCTGTATGCCTCAGTCACTGGAGAGTTGCTGCTAGTTAAAACAGAAGGTACTGGAATTAATGGCAAATAGTCTGACCGAAGGCAACTTAACTTCTTAAACTTGTAGTATAATAAAAAGAAACTTGTGCCAAAGCAGCTTTTAATTAAGTATGGATACTAGATGTTCCAACTTAATATTAGATCCCTACAACCTTTTATGATGATAAGCCTGGCGGCATTTACTAGAAGGTTTAAAAAATTGTGTTTCTAACTCTCTGGCTACCTCCTATCGAGGGCCAGATAGAGTAAAACAACCTCCTCAGAAAATGCACACTGATGGTTGGCATGATGGTGAGGGAGGAAGCTATGTGCCTCCCTTGACTTACCTTGTACCATTCACAAGGTATCCTGCTGTTTTGCAAGTGGTAGAAAAGATAATTATCATTAGTGGGGAAGTAAAATTTAGCTGATGCATTTCTGTATGGGCTTTCCCACCTATAACTTCCCCCAGCATCATGTCTTTTGCGTCACATCACAAAATGTCTGGGCTGACTTTGCCCTTCTGTATTGGCTTTGGTCTCAATCTTCCTATTGTCATTTGCCTCATTCCAAGGGTATCTGGCCTTCTGGTACAGTATCACCTGTGATCAATGGTGAAATCCAAATTTTTTTACTACCCATTCTGTGGGTGTGGGTTGGGCGTGGCTTGGTGGGCATGGCAGGGGAAGGATACTGCAAAATCCCCATTCCCACCCCACTCTGGGACCAGCCAGAGGTAGTATTTGCCGGTTCTCCGAACTACTCAAAATTTCCACTACCGGTTCTCCAGAACCTGTCAGAACCTGCTGGATTTCACCCCTGCCTGTGACATAGTTGTATATATATATCCATGCAGAAGTCAACCCCATTGAGATCAATGGAAGATTTCAGGTAAGTAGTTAAGATTCCAGGCTGTTTTGCTGTATATCCAGGGGAAATGGCAGGACAGCAAAAGGATGGGGTTTTGGGGTGGGGGAACCTTGGAATACAAAATTAGCACATTGTTGAATGACAACAAGGAAATTAAGATTATAAATTGGAGGAAATCACTCCAGCAGCTGTCATGGTCCATATAAATTAGAGTTTAACTCCCAGAATTACCCAGCCACCATAACTGGCTGGAGAATTAGAGTTGGGGCCTTCACATCTTGACATTGATAATGGAATTAGGTTGTGGAATTCCAGTAATGTTAAATCATCAAGTATTTTGTAATATGTTTTTTAAAAAAACTCACTTGAAACATTTTAATTTGGTGCTAAAATAATTTTAAAAACTCCTGCAATCCATATAAATTAGGATTGATCTATCTGGACTAGAATCACTATTTATTAATTTCTATGCAATTAATTTATCTCATCAAATAATATTTAATTTATAGGATATCCATATATCCTAGTATATCACATAGTTTGCTAAATATCAAGAACAAGGCAGCCTTGTGCTGCAATTGTATACAAGAAGATAAATTTAGTTTTTAAAAAACCTTGCCTAATTTCTACCACTCGTCCACAGTATAGATTTTCTGATATTTCCATCATATCTTTTTAGGGGTGATTTTTTTTTCTCCTATACAGTCAGTATCCCCCACTTCTGATTTCTCCAATCTTATTGCCTCTTATCATGGAGATCGGAAATGTACATCCTGAAGACTCGGAGCGAAATCAAAATCTTAGGAGACCTCTAAAAATGTTTGCCAAATTGTTCTGTTTACAATAGAAATTATAATTGTGTTTGACAAGAGAAATAGATTAACTGCAAATAATAATACATAAATGGTAACAGACACAAATCAAATAGATGAAAATGGGAAACTGGGCTAATTAAAGCATGTGCAAATGCTGGTTGTGGGTGGGAGGTGGTCTGTTCAAGGGATGAATGTTAAAAAGAAGAAGGCTGAGAATAGGAGCGTGCAGCTACCCTTTTCTTCTTTGACAGGAAGAGCGGTGTAAGGTCCCAAAATATAGCTGAATCACCAGAATGCCAAAGAGAGAGACTCAAGACGAGGCTTGCAAAAAGAAGCAGATTTTATTTATGGCCAAAAACAAAATACTGGGTGGGACTATTTCCAGAACATACAGATGCAATGCATGTGAGGAGATAGCCACACCTTGGGGAAGGTATGGCATCCTTTTTATACCCTCAGAGGCATTAGCTTAGTACCCAATTCTGGCCCCCTGGCCCATCCCTTCCTTTGGCAGTGCAGCAAGGAAGGGTGGGTGGGTGGGTGCTTAGCAACCCCACTTCTTGAGCTATCCACCAGGTACGGAATGATACAGAAAAACATAACAAAGAAGTGAGATCACTGGTAGAAACAAATGGCAGAGGCAGTTCTAATTCTTAGCAAAGCAATTCTTACAGAAGCAAAACAACAAGTCAAACCAATTCTAGTGACTCCACTATTATTTCCCACCAATTCTACCTGTTCTATTATTATTATTATTATTATTATTATTATTATTATTATTATTATTATGTCCCTTCAGTGGCATACGTCAGAAGAAACAAAAATTCACCCAATAGAGTGGAAACGGGGACCATAAGAACAGTGTGTAGTAAACCAAGCAAAAGGATTAATAGGAAATGGTTGCAGAATGAATTGATAGTGAATAAACGAGTGAATGAGTAGTGTGAAAGAATGTATGTCTAATACTGAGAAAAAGAATGAAGATCAAACTGCAAAATACATTTGTGAAGGAAGGCTGAATGGTCAAGAGAAAGAGAAAGTTGAGATTGGTTTTGTTAGCTCCTCAAAAACTTGACAGATGTTTAAAGAGCAAAAAGCAATAAATATATGAAGCAGTATGTGGAAGTTAAAGCATGAATAATTTGCAAAGATAGATATAGGGGGAATATTAAATTGTGTTGGTGTAAACTATATTTAGTTATATTTCTTTGCTCACTATTATTGTCTCTCTACACTTTGCCCAATGTTCATTAATAAAAAATGGAGAATGATTTTATATGAATGTAGGAAAAAATAATTAAATGCTAGATAATAATCTAGCAGTAATTAACTATATTTAATTGTAATTAAATATAAAGGAAATGAAATCAAAATTGATTTTTATCTGGGCTTTCAGCTACAGTGTGACCCTCATGCCAAAGAGCCTCGTTTACTCCTGATACGAATGCTTTTATTTTAGAATAGCAAAGGTCACTTTCTATTAGTCATCTATTGGGGATGATTTAATGAATCATGCAGGAAATTGGACTTGATAATTTCTTCCAATTCAGCGATAAAAATTGCAGCACAGGTCAAGGATTTCCTGAAGTTTCCAATAAAGTTTAGATCTGTTTGAGCTCAACATGTGTTGATGGAATGTGGGGTTGGCTCCTTGTTCTCAGATCAGACAATCCCCTTTCACTGCTCTTTATGTTGATATAATGTGGCCACGATCCTGATTGTACTTAGACCATCTTCACATTTTTCCTGTTTATTAACAGAGAAAGTTTTTGGAACACAGCATTGGATGGCATTTTGTAATCCCATATGGCAGGGAGTACATATTGGCTAAACAGATGTAGCCAGATGAGCAGCAGAAACCCTACACAGTCTCCAATAGATAAAATGGGGCAAAGAATTATATTGTGAAAATGTTCCCCTTCCACTATATTCCAGGCATTCTACTCAGATCTGTATAAATAATGAAATTTAGTAGGGGAAGGACCTGTGAAGATCTCATGGGAACTAAAATGATTTAACTCTTCAATAGTTATTATTGGAGTATAGGTCAAGACAATAGCTCAGCACACGGTAGGCATCTAATTATTATAATTGTTCTATTATAATAATAACATCTGGATGGTGCTAATGGACATTTGTCTGGACTTAATTTGTGAGTATGGTTGTGTTTTTATGATTTGCAAATGTAGACATACATTTTCTGTAAGAATATGTGCACTAACAGGTGTGAAGTCCACACATGAAGGTCCAATTAAACTGATTTATTGTTGCTCATGCCTATGCATGGGAATCTTCTCAACTAACGGTTAACATCTGCTTGAGGTAAGACAAGAGTCAACAGAAATCAAGAGAGGTTGGACTTAGTTTGCTTGTGTCCATGTAGGGATTCTAGGCTGATCTCTCTTTTAACTCCACTCACAGGTTCTGCCACTTTCTCCTATTTGTACATATTATATGGCTATGGCAGTATACAATTACTTTCATAGAAAAACTTATTTGTGCCATATTTATAAGCAAGTTCCTTATATGTATTAAATATTGGCTCATCTAGAAGCAAGAGCATACCATCACTGATTATCCTCTCCTGTTTTCAATTGTTTTTCCTCTGAAAAATAAACTACATTGTATGTCCCTACATTGTGAGAGATGGTTTCACTATTTCTATGTACACAGGTGGTAATTCATTGTGAGCTACCCTAAATCGGCTTTAGTATCGTTCTCAAAGTGCACAGATGCTTTGTTTACAACCAGCAAATGCTTCTGCACAGAAAATTGTGATTTATAGATACCCTAATCCACGGGTGTCCAATTTGATCGCGTCATGTGACATCACATGACGTATCATGATGTTTTTTGCTTTTGCGGAGCCAGGGTAGGCATGGCCAGTACATGATGCATCTGGCTCACTGGCCGCCAGTTTAACACCCCTGCCCTAATCAAACTTCAGCTGATCTTCCAGTCTTCACGAAAATAAAAGACATTGAGAGAAATTTGATAACATTACCACTAGGTGGCATGTATTTGTATAGATTAAGCATTACTCTATTTATATTTTCAGACAGTGAAATTTTCCCAGGCCA